GGAGGCCGAGGCCCCGGCCGCCGCCCAGAGCCCCCGCGGGCCTCTCGCCGCGGGCCCGGGCGTGGTGCTGTACCTGTGCCCGGAGGCGCAGTGCGGACAGACCTTCGCCAAGAAGCACCAGCTGAAGGTGCACCTGCTGACACACAGCAGCAGCCAGGGCCAGAGGCCCTTCAAGTGCCCCCTGAGCGGCTGCGGCTGGACCTTCACCACGTCTTACAAGCTCAAGAGACACCTGCAGTCGCACGACAAACTGCGGCCATTTGGCTGCCCGGTGGAGGGCTGTGGCAAGAGCTTCACCACCGTGTACAACCTCAAGGCGCACATGAAGGGGCACGAGCAGGAGAACTCCTTCAAATGCGAGGTCTGTGAGGAGAGCTTCCCCACGCAGGCCAAGCTCAGCACCCACCAGCGCAGCCACTTCGAGCCCGAGAGGCCTTACCAGTGTGCGTTCTCTGGCTGCAAGAAGACGTTCATTACTGTGAGTGCCCTGTTTTCTCATAACCGCGCCCATTTCAGGGAACAGGAACTCTTTGCCTGCTCCTTCCCTGGCTGCAGCAAGCAGTATGACAAGGCTTGCAGGCTCAAGATTCACCTGCGCAGCCACACGGGAGAGAGGCCTTTCCTTTGTGACTTCGATGGCTGTGGCTGGAATTTCACCAGCATGTCCAAACTCTTGAGACACAAGAGGAAGCACGACGACGACCGCCGGTTCACCTGTCCCGTAGAGGGCTGCGGGAAGTCCTTCACCAGGGCCGAGCACCTGAAAGGCCACAGCATAACCCACCTGGGCACGAAGCCCTTCGTGTGCCCCGTGGAAGGCTGCTGTGCCAGGTTCTCCGCCCGGAGCAGTCTCTACATCCACTCCAAGAAGCACTTGCAGGACGTGGGCACCTGGAAAAACCGCTGCCCGGTCTCCACCTGTAACAAACTCTTCACGTCCAAGCACAGCATGAAGACCCACATGGCCAAGAGGCACAACCTCAGCCAGGACCTCCTGGCCCAGCTGGAAGCTGCCAACTCCCTCACACCCAGCAGTGAACTCACCAGCCAGGGCCAGAACGACCTCAGTGGTGCAGAGCTAGTGTCTCTGTTCTCGGATGTGCCTGGCCACAGTTCTGCTGCCGTGCTGGACACGGCCTTGGTCAATTCCGGGATCTTGACGATTGACGTGGCCTCTGTGAACTCGACCCTCGCGGGAAGTCTCCCTGCTGATAACAGTAACCATTCCTTAGGGCCAGCGGTGGACCCCCGGGCCCTCAGGGCCCCCACTGACCTTCCCCAGAGTCTGGATACCTCTCTCTTCTTCGGAACCTCGGTGGCTGGCTATCAGCAGAGCCCCTTAGACATGGACGATGTCTCCGGTGGAAACGTGGGGCTCTTTGGCTCCTTGGCTCTGAAAAGCTCCAGCCTGGAGCCCCAGGCTTTGACACCCAGCAATAAGTTAACTGTGGACACCGAAGCTCTGACTCCCTCCAGCACCCTCTGTGAAAACAGTGTCTCAGAACTACTGACCCCTGCCAAAGCCGATTGGAACGTGCACCCCGAGTCTGACTTCTTTGGGCACGAGGAAGAAACCCAGTTTGGATTCTCCAACCCGGCAGGAAGCCACGCTTCTCAGAAAGAAACAGACCTTATCACGGTGACTGGCACCCCGTTTTTGGTATGAACCTACTCGGCCCGTGCCCTGACGGGTGGCTCGCTTTCATTGATTACACTCCAATCTGAGGATGTCCTGTTCTGGACGGAGTGCTGACTTACCTGCGGTCCTTTCTTGCTGCTTTGCAAAGGAGCGCATCTGTGGACTATACAGATTGAGAGATTGAAATTCTCACCCCGAGTCTGGAACTCATGAGTTCTGTGACCGTGAGCAAGTCTCTTAACCTAACTGAGCCTTAATTCATTATTTATAAAATTAGGTGTTTTGTTTAGATTGTTTCTATTTCCTTTTCAACGGTATTTCCATTCTTTGTACTCCTTTGGTGTGAATTTTTAGAGTATTTTATAGTGTTTACATATAATTGTAATGTAATGAAAAGGGCTTTGATCCCTTTGAACATTAAATGATCAGTGCTAGATGAACTGGTGTTTTTAACTTTTAATATGAAACTTACCTCATGTCCACAATATCCATAATATCAGTAGAGTGCAAAAATATGGAATATTATTTGTTTGTTTGATCTTTGTCTACTTGTGGTGTCTTTCTATAGGAGGTTTTATTTTCATGTTGAACAATGTCAGGGTTTTGATATATTGCAAGCATATTCTAAAATATTGCCTCTTAACATTGAACAAGTGGCCTTATATTAGTCATTCTGTCTTGCTGAGCCTTACTTTCGTAGCTTTACAGTGGTCATAGGAATGCACATTGTTTGCAATCATTTTGGATCTTTTTTATGCTTGGGATTGTTACTGAAGGGAAAATACATGTTTTGGCTTTGTCAATCTTTAATTTTCTTGCCTCCATATTTCATCTCTTAAACAAAAATTAGCAAATGTTTATGTCGTAGTTTTGCATCCATTAAAATTTATAGGCATTAAGCATACATGGGGATTTGTACCTTCCACAGATTGAGGAGGACTTTCTCTATAGAGTTCTTATTTGACACTGGTCACAGTTCCATTTGACCAGTTTACTGGGGTCTGTTCAGTATCAAAGCCAGCTCTTGGCCTGAATCTACTAGTTCAATAAAATTTGGGAATGAACCAGAAGGAAATGTTCTTTTGTCTTGGGGCCCTCATTCCTAATGCTCTCTGGAATGAGAGGCTTGCTGTGCATTTTGAAATACTGTCACTTTTAACACGAGTGTAGCATTTTATGATTTATATAGAAATTTCATATCTAATATATTTGATTGTCATAATCCTCATGAGAAAGTGTGAACTTCAACTGATATTAACACTTTCCTGACCTATGACAAATGGAGTTCACTTAGTAAATATTATTTGTAGTTCAAATAGAAGAGGAACTATTTCTACCTCTCTCATTCTGCTGTTCTGAATTCCGTGACCATTTGCTTATGAGCAAAGTCTTTTGTTCCTCCTAAGTATATACTTGTTCCTTTATGCAGTTCTGCCCCACCCCCGTTACTGTAGTCCTTGGTATACATACCAATCTGTGCCATGCCTCTACCTTTTTTCTAATTAGACACTTCTTTTTGGTCACCCCTTTGTCACATGATCTAATTTTATTCACAATAATTACTGCAGTCATTGTATGCAATGAGAAGGTATTTTCTGAATCCAGATTACAAGTGTGTTTACAGGAATCAGATGATAATGGGGTTATTTTTTCTATAAGGTCTGATGACAAGTACCTCTCCAAATTTGTTCACCAAGTTTTCTACTAGCATATAGTTGTCCTAAAACATTCAAGTTCAATACTGTTTTCATGAGGAAAATAGTTTTTATAGCACCTTGGCAATATATAATTTGCCACTTTGAAATGCATTATGTACTATCTTTATAATTTTTAAATTGGTTGAACCTATTCAATGAAAAGGTAAAAAGTAGACATTGATTTGTAGTTTAAAGAAGTATTCAGAATTTTAGTGTGTCCAAGCATTAAGAGTATTATTCCCTTAGTACTTTGAAAAGATTTTTAAGACTGTTTTAGAATGTATCTTCATGAGTTAAAACAAACATTTCTCATTTCATTTTGCAAGGACTGCAAAGGCCTGAGGTAAACACACATTTCATAAGCATTTATTAAGATATATAACCATAAAGATATTGTTTCTTTTACATTTTTTCCAATTAAAGACTATAACAAAACATTCTTACCTATATTCTGTAGAATATCCAAAGGATAAATTTTAATTTCTTGATAAAAGTCATGTTATCATTATGATTTCTCTATGAACATTGCCCTAGCATGATGGTGGAATGACTGTAATTGCAGTCAGAGATGTGACTACAAACATAATGGTTGTATTTCTGTTGTTAACATAAATTTGTCATTTTAAAAATGATGAGTCATGAGTTAGTTTTATCTCCTTTACCTTTTGTGATTTTTTCAGTCTCTTGATTTGTTAAAATTTGCCAATGTAATTGTGTTAATAACAATGTCTTATAGGAAGTTTGTTTTCAAAGGGCCCTGTTAAGCCTACTTGATCATATAAAAGATGTTAATCTTGGTATTTTGCAACTTATTTCATTATAATATTAAATAATTGAAATTCTTGAGTAGTAGAAATAAAATTTGATAGATTGTCAGGTCATCTTTCAGAAAATGCTTCATATCTCCATCTGGAAAAGAAGATTTAGAATAACAAAATATTTAGAGTTTAGCTGTGTTTAGAGCTATTCATAATACTTTAGTATTAAAAGAGTATCCACTTGGGTATTTAATAATGCAAAAATATAGCTTATATACCTCACTCAAAATACATCATAATTGAAATGTTAAATTGGATTAAAATGTGTGTGCATTGCTTTTGAAAAATACAGGTTTATTTCTTCTACTTCTTTTTAAGGGAGAACGAGTTTATTTTTGCTCACAGTTGCATATTATTATCTATCATACTGGAGAATAAGCAGCAGGAACCTGAGGGATCCAGTCACATCATGTATGCAATAAGGAACAGAGAATAAGGAATGAATGCATGCTGATCATTTCTCCACTTATATATTCCAGGATCTGCTCCTCAGGGAATGATAGCCCCACCCACAATTAAGATGGAACTTCTACATCAATTAACCTAATCAACACAATTCCCTAAGGGTCCCAGAGACCGTCTATCTGGTGATCATAGACTCTGTCAAGTTGAGAACTAGTACTAACCATTACAGTATGGCATTCCACAAAGGTTGCAGATAAGAGATGCTATACCCGTACTGCTTTATCATGTACAGAGTTCTTATGAATAGCTTATAGGTGTTATTATCCTCATTTTAAAACTGAAAAATATGAATTGCTAAGAAGTTTATATGATTTTCATAACATCATAATTGTTATAAGTGGTTAGGTTTTGTGTAGTTGAAAAAATGCTTCCAGAATCCATTCGAATGATGGTTTTAAGCATAATACACTGCTGTGATATTATGGTTGGCAGAGAACTAGAAATGTCAGTCTCTCCAAATTTGATTTTATATCCAGGAATAGAGTGTTTCTTTGATTCTAAATTACCCCTGAAATTGTTCTAAAAATATTTGCAACAGTGGATATAGATGGTCTATAAGAGTATTTCAAAACGTTCCAGATCTGTTCAATGATTCAGAGAAATATTTTAAGGATATACATCCCATCCCCTAAGAGCATAAAATATTCTCATTTACATGGAAAACTAAGACTTTGGCTGTTAATGAGTATTTTAATTGCTCATGAGGTAGCTGGACTTATGAAAACTAAGACTTTGGCTGTTAATGAGTATTTTAATTGCTCATGAGGTATAAGGACTTATCTACTAGAAATGTCTTCTTGAGTAAACTAAAATGTAATTATTTTCCTCAAGTCATCATTATTTTTCAATGTAAATTTTGTATTACATTATATATAATTTCAAATTATTTTATTTTTGAGATTATAATTACAACATTTTTCTTCTTCCTTTCATCCCTCCAAGCACTCCCATAAAAACCTCCATGCTCTCTTTAAAATACATGGCTTTTTATTCTATTAATTGTTGTTTCATACATATATTTATTCCTAAAAATTTAAATACAACTTGCTCAGTCTGTACCATGTTGCTTGTATATATGTTTTCAGAACTGACTGTTTGATAATTTGATGACCAGTTGGTGTTTTCTTCCTGTTCTCAGAATTCCTTAGTGGGTTTTCTTGTTGTTCTTTTTTTTGTGTGTGTGTGTGTGTGTGTGTGTGTGTGTGTGTGTGTGTGTGTGTGTGTGTGTGTGTGTGTCTAGGGCTGAGTTCTCCTGAGCTTCTCCCCTTACATCTCCTGAGCTTCTCCCCTTACATGTTTGCATGTTTACTGGTGTCATCCTTGTTTAGCTCATGTTTAGGCAGTCATGTTGGTGAGACTTACTGGTGTAGGTTCTGACATTCCTAGAAGACACAATCCCACAGCAAGCTCTGTTATCCTGGCTTTTGAATTTTTTCTGGCCCCTATCCATAATAATCCCTGAGCCTTAGGTATAGGACTTATGTTGTAGATGTATCTGTTGGAACTGGGCTCTACAGCTCTGTATCTTGATTGGTTGTGGTTTTCTGTACTGGTCTCTGTCTGTTGCAGAGAGATGTTTCCTTAATTGGGGTGGAGACTACACTTATCAGTATGTATAAAAACAAATATTTAGGATGCAGTTAAGGTTTATTCTGATTTAGTAAAGTGATGGTTATAGGTTCTCCGATAAGATCCATGAATGTGGGTGTCTTCTGCACTGGGGGGCAACCAAGGGAAATAGCAGTAGCCTGTGAAGTTTTAGGAGTCTCTTGGACAGCCCTGATCAACAACTCAAAAGAGAGATTCACATCCCTGGTGTTGGGGATTTTGTTGAATGATCTTTAGCTCTTGTACAGAGCATTGCCAGTCCAGATGGAAATTTTTCATTTAATTTATAAATGTATATTTATATACTGACTTATATGTACTATAGTTATTTTAGGTGTTATCCTTATGACCTTTTCAGACATCTTTACTCCCTCCTGCTGTATTTATCTCCTAGCCCTTCTGTAATTAAAGACCCTCACAGTTTTCACATTTCCCTTTTAGATCACTTGTTCACTGCTTTCCCCCTATCTATGGCTACCCAGACACTCCCCCAACTCACTGATGGTCCCCCTTTACTTTCCTTGTTTCTGTAGTTCCTCCAGGAAATGTACACACATGTGAAGATTTGCAGCTAGGAGTCTCAGATTAGAGAGAACATACAGCATTTGTCTTTCTGAGTCTGGCTCACCTTATTCAATATGATCTTTTCTAGTTCCATCCAAATTTTGAGATGTCATTTTTTTTCTTACAGCTGAATAATATTCTATAGTGTATATGTTCCACATTTCTTATCCACGTGTCACTTCAAGGATATTTACGTTGTGTCTATTTTCTAGCTGTTGTGAATAGAACAGCCATGCATGTGGCTGATGAAGTATGTGTGAAGAAGTATGGCAAGTTCATTGGGCATATGCTAAGGTATGGTATAGCTGGCTCCTTTGGTAGGTTTATTTGTAGCTTTTGAGACTCTTCCACCCTGATTTCCAGAGTGGCTGCACCAGTTTGCCATCCCACCAACAGGGAGGGGGATCCCCTTTCATCCACATCCCCTCCAGCATTCGTTGTTGGTTGTTTTGGTGATTTTTGCCATTCTGATTGGGATAATTTGAAACCTTGTAGTTGACTTGGTTTGAATTTCCCTAATTGCTAGGGACTATGAACATTTTTTAAAAGTATTTCCTAGCATTTCACCTGTCTTTTGAAAACTTTCTGTTCAGGTTGCAGCCCCATTTTTTGAATGGATCACTTGATTTTTGCTTTTGATTCTTAGTATTTTGAGTTCTCTCTCTTCTCATTCTCTCTATCTATACATCTGTCTCTCTCTGTACATTTATATGTATTGTGTATAGTTTTAAGTACATATAAAATGGTTCCTAGAGACCTTATCAAACAACCTTGGTGTTATTTGCTCCTTGACCTTCCTTCTCCTTCTGTATAGACATCCCATCTGGAGCCCTTTTCCTATTTTTCCATTTTTTCACTTCATATGAACTGTAATAACAATTTTAAACTAGAGATCCTATTGTCTATTTCAGCAGCACAGTTCAAAAGAAAAAGTGCTGACCCTTGATGTCATTTACTTAAGAGTGAGTCTGCTTTGTACAGAAGAATTCTAATCTCTCCTCTGATTTGATCTCTCAAATAAAGGTCATTCTTTCTATTCAACAGCACAGTGAATGTGGTATTGAAAAGGAATGATGAAATTTTGTCTAAATCAGTCTTTTACAAGGATTTCACAGGGAGGAAATTGGTTTGAGGCCCTATTTAATCCATACAATAAACAAAGCAATAATAAAATATCATCAATCTATACCTATATGTTGCTTTCATATTTTTCTTTAAACACATTGTTGTTTTTAGAAATGTTCTTAGATATAGCCATCACACCTCATGAACATTTATCTTGGCCTGAGACAAGGCATGAATGGCTCACAAAAGAAAAATAGGGAATATGGTACACTAAAGCTTTGCATTCAGCTGAGTTTGTAAGGGCTTATAGCAATGTAAAGTCCAAAGTATGTAAGATTGGTTACAATGTTTCTCGTAGATGGCTGTTAATTCTGAATAGGTTGTGTACATAGTATGTATGCAGAATAAGCACATAGTTATAAATGATCTCACATCACATTATTAACTTGATTACAGGTTAGGTGAAAGTTTGACTTGTAAAGGCAAGCTTCAAACAGAATTTCTCAGAAAAACAGTTCCCATATTTCAAGTTAATTTATGGAGTTTATGTGGAGTGAAAGGCAGAGTACTAAGAATATAGGAAACCAGTGAAATGTAAGTCATATCTTAAATTTGGAGAAGGCATAGTTATTCATACTGAACATTTCACAGTAAGTATTTTCAGACAATAAAATAATGTTTTAGAAGAAGAAGAGGGGTAGGAAATTTATTTATATAGAGAACAAGTTGGTCTGTTCCCCTAAGGAGGAAAACACAAGGAAAGATCACAAAATGGAATTGGCTACCAATATTTGGTAAAGCAACACAAATACTGTAGTATTTATTTGTTTGTTTTTATTCGTTGGTGGCTTGCCACAAAACTCCCAAATAAATACATGGAGACTTATTCTTCCTTGCGAATGCCCAACTTTAGCTTTGCTTGTTTCTAGCCAGCTTTTCTAAGTTATATTATCCAATTTCTCTTCTAGGTTTTTCCTCTGGGCTTTTTACCTTTCTTTATTCTATGTATTTTCTTTTCTTCTTCCTCTGTGGCTGACTGTGGCTGGGGGGCTGGCTCTAGGCATCCTTCTCTCCTCCCTTTTTTGCTCCTCCCTCTTCTCCTTTTCTCCTCCTATTTATTCTCTTTGCCTGGGAGCTCTGTCTATCTTTTCTCCTGCCTACCTATTGACCATTCATCTCTTTATTAGACCAATCAGGTGTTTTAGGCAGGCAAAGTAACACAGCTTCACGGAGTTAAACATATGCAACATAAAAGAATGCAACACATCTTTGCATCAT